TCAAAGCTCCATGAAAACTTCAAAACTCGCGTCCTAAACCACCCAAACCCACTAATTAAAGACACGTTTACCCAAACTATCCCAAACCAACGATACCTAACCCCGACAAGTCTAATGGCAGACCCCCCCTGGAATCACTCGCCTTAAGCAGGTGATTCCCGACATCTCAAACCTCCTGGAAAGTACCTAAACTCTCTAACTCTTCCAAATTTAAAATCCAAGACCAACCGCCACAAACCACTACTTTTCTCGCTCCGTACCCCTACTTTTTTTCTTTCTTCGTTCGCTCTCAGTCCCACAACCACCAAAACCCACACCCCTAACCCACCAAGGCTCTTGCAGGCTACCAGCAAAGACAAAAAGCCTTAAATGGCTATGTCTGCGTCAAACATCAGGTCTAAACGCTCAAGATGAAGACGTTGATCTCTTCCGAGGACCGTGGAACGCACAATATTACAAGATGTGATAGACAGGGCTATAAAACTGGCAAAAACCGGGAAACCAGTAGGCCCAGATGGGATACATATAGAGATAATCAAACTTCGAGAAACGAACGATGGCAAACAATATCTCTTTTTGCTTTTCAAAAAAATACACGACATTGGACATATGCTAACAGACTGGCTCACGTCAACATTTGCAACTATCCCTAACAATTGTAATGCAACAATATGCAGTGAATACCGTACCATCAGCCTAATGAGACACACAGTACAAATCTTCCTGCGAACAAAATTGAAGGATAAAAAACAGTATTAGCACTGTTCAGCCTACGTCCTCGTGTAGAGATGCTAATTAACCGCCCAGTGAATGTGCTTCATAGATTTTGAAAAGGCCGTCGATGGAGTAGGACATGATAAGATGATGAAGATTATCCAGAAAGCAGACATTGATGACAAAGACCTACGGATCATGAGAAACCTTGCCTGGCATCAACGAGCCGTCAGTGTGGACCATAATGTCGCAGAGGAGGTAGAGACACGAAGAGGAGTGCGGCATATTCAGAGTTTATTTTCAGGAAAGCACTAGAGAACATTGGGATCAAGGATAATGGCGTAAATACAAATAACCTAAGACACGCAGATGATACGTTGCTGCTTACCAGTAGTCAAGAAGATCTACATATGCTGGTCGACAGTGTGTCCATCGTCCGCGATGAATATGGACTAAAGCACAACACCAAAAGACTAAGTATAAGCTAGTCAGCAAAGTTCCTGTGCATCAAACAGCTATTACAGCATATGGCATTTTAATTGAAAAGATCTACAGTATCACCTATCTCGGATGCAATATAAGCGACAACTGGGATATGAGCAAAGAGCTTAGAATCCGTATAGAGAAGGCAAGAGATGCGTTCTTAAAAATGAGAAGGGTAATTTGTGGTCGGAGTCTTAGCAACAAACTGAAAATATCCAGAAAGATACGCAATTCTTCAGCGTATAATACCAAAGAAAATAGTAGGAAGAAAATGGCCAGGCCGGGGATAAACATCCTGGCTAAAGAACCTCTGCGATTGGTTTAATAAGTCCACCACATCCCGATTTCTCGCGGCAGTCAATAAAGTGATAATAGCCAGAATGGTAGTCAACGTTCGGTAACGGACACGGTACTCAAAGAAGACGACGATGCAGGAAGAGACTTGGTAGAGGAGATGTTTTGGTATTCAGACAACTGCTAATCCAAGGAGTACGTGTCGTAAACACAAACGATTTTGTTTGCTTCATATGATCATTTGTATTACACACTCCGAAGCAAAGGAACTAAACTATAGCACTGTTATTAACGGTGTAAGGCTTCAATATTTTGAACCAAACTTTGAACGGAAAAATAATTTCTAATTTTCTAATCAAAACATGCACACTTCTAAATCGACACTGTATAATATGTAGTTCAATAGAGCGGAAGTCGTAAAACTGTAAGTCTCTTAATTGGATTACGACATCAAATAATGGCAAAAATATGCTGCTATAAACTTCTGATCATTTAAGCTCAACCACGAAAGTTATCGCAAGATATATACATATGTATGTCAAAGTGACAACATAATTAGTAGAAATGATCTAAAAGCGAATTGATAATGGATCAATTTCTGGGATGTTACTTAGATGGCTTCAACGGAAGTGCAAGAAATAGTTTGCATGATAGGCGAAATCGCAAGCAGATGGTTGACTACATTAATACTTTAATTCAGGGATGTGCAGGAGGTATTTCCATTGGCTTGCAAATGTATGCAGTATATTTAAGTTTGAGAACTACCTTGTGAATTAAATATTTTTGCGTAAATGTATTTCATGAATGGCTTAAATGCTGCCGTAATAATTCAACTTTCAAAATGTATGTAACACAATCAAATAATTGTTTATATAGCAGCCAATAACGATACCGAACAAACATGCAAAGAGGCAATCACCACTTTACTGCTACACCACGATAAAACGAAGAACGCTAACGGTACCGTGTGCATGATGGGAAAGTACCACAATATTCTGTACGTCGCTGTCAAGTTATGTTATTTGTGGCAATTGCAAGATGCAGGTAATTCATTTAGGCTATCAAATACAAATTTTCTACTATTCGATTTATAAGCGCCTTGATACAGAAGATAAGTAAATTTCTACTAGAGTGTCAGTAGAATTAAACGAGGAGCTTCAATGGTTTCAATCGTATTCCATTGTAGAAACAGCTCTGACTAATTGTATTACCTACAGCTACCATCAATTCATCTAATAGTTTAACTGACCGTGTCATTAAATAGCTACTGAATCGCCACAAATTCGTAGCTTTAAAGATTGAACTAGTATAAGATCCATATAAGATATATTTCCTTGAAACTAGAGATCCCTAGAAATATTTTTACTTAATGACTTATAATATTTTGAGTTAACTATGACTCATGACTCTTACACCGTAAATCTTAAGAATTAATATCTATAGGCTGAAGACAAAATCTGAAACTCAATTCTTATGACTTCTGACCAAACATCTACTGCTCGATTCTGCTGTGGCTTCTTTTATAGTTAACTCATGGTGAATCATAGCAGAAACGATACTACGTCTTATTTTATAAGAATAGTTGGCATAAATGGCGATATCATTTTAGTCATGAGTATTTTTTTCTCAGACAGAGTGATTTAAATTTGGCGTCATTCCTTTGAAGGGGTAATAGGGGTGGAAAAGTATTGAAATTTTTTTTCGAAATTGCTAGAAGATATTAACGGTTGAAAATCGAATTTCAACTTTGTTATTAAGCATTATTTTGAAACTGTTCCATGTTTAATTGGTTATGCTACCAATTGGAATTGGAATATTTAAGCATTCAAAAAGAAAAAAATACTTAATACTTAATAAGTTAATTATACTTAATAAGTTCTCTTAAAGTCAAAGCGGCAATGATGTTTTTTGTCCTTGTGGTTAGCCCTTGTCAATAATAGCAATAATTTGTCAAACTGTGACTTAGGTACTTTTCTTGCTCCTTTCACGACTTTGCGAATATGCGATTAGTTCAGTTCAATAAATACCGGCTACATTCCTACCACGTATGTAAGATACCCATTGTGCATATTAAGGTGATTACACATGCACTTGTTTGGAGTTACAGACTCAAATGTATGATTTTCTAATTTGTAAACAAATTAATAATAATAGGTTCCGTCATTCAACGATTCCTGTTGAATTTAGCGTTTATTCTTGTATACCTTATTGTCACTTTCTCTATTTATCCATGTTTACCGGAATTTTAAATAATTACGAAGTAACAGGTATTTACGTAATGTTGATTCCGCAGACTACCTTGAAAAACATTGTTGCCGTTTTTCTAATACAGTTTTTTGCAAATTTCTCAGTTTTTGATAACAATTAATTTTTTTTACTGTTTTTTCTGTACTCCTAAAACACTCCCACACAACACCACCAGAGGAATGACGCCAATTTTGAATTACTCTGTATTTACCTATGCTTCTATATCCTCAGTTAAAAATACACACACCGGCACGTGAGATTTAGAAGATCCCGGAAGCAAATATCAAATTGTTTAAGAATATCATAGGGGTTGCCTATTTTAATGCAAGTTAAGTGTTTTGCTAAACCATCAACTTGGAAATTGGAATGGCCTTTTAGAGAAAAAAATTATATGCAAGAAAGAAAACGATCTTTAGAAAAAGTGATGCGAATGGTTTTGACTAGTTTTATGATCTTCGTAGAGCGTCAGCAATTCAAATGACAATATAATGCATCTTTAATTTTGTATAGAATTGTTTATATCAAATATTCGCAAATCCTGAAATGTGTCACTATCAGCTCGGCTGACGCAACTTAAGATCATCTATAAAACCTGAGAGGAGTAAGCTCATCTCTTCAAGAAACAAGAGTGGAAATTTACGCTCCGCCTTTCTGTGACTTTGCAATGAACATAGTCCTTTGACTACATTTTCACATACTTCCCTTTTTCTTTGGACGGAATATCTTCTGTTGTGCCTAATATACGAGGGTGGTTTGAAAAGTCCGTGCAAAGTCAGAGAGAGAGCACCACCTGGAGCCTACATAACTTATTTTCCGTAAGTTGCATCTCTTGGAAGAACACACACCCAGTTTCAACCAGATCGGTTTAATTCTTGGTTAATAGTGTTTGGCGTTTGTTTGGGACGAAGAAATCGAGATATTTTCAAAACATGGCCGAGGAATAATTTAAATAAACGGCAAAGCGCCTCAAGGGACTAAAGAGAAGCTTGATTGAAATATTACAGTGACTCTACACCTTCAATTAGAACAGTTTATAAGTGGTTTAACAATTTTTGGAGTAGCCATATGACGACTGGACGACCTGCTTCTGCTACTACTCCAGAGCTCATTGATAAACTCAATGATAATGTAGTGATGGCTGATAGAATAGTGAAGGTGCGTGAGACTGTTGGTGATGTAGTCATCTGGAATGAACGGGTACATAATATTTTGCACCAATATTTGGACATGAAAAAGATATCCGCCAGATGGGTGCGGCGATTGCTCACGATTGGTCAAAAACGAAATTTTGTGAGCTGTTGCATGGACGGTTTGCAGATTTTGCAGCGCTATCCGCAGGACTGTAACCGTCGTTTTGTGACTGTGGGTGAAACATGGATTGATCACTACCCTCCTGAGACCAAAGAACAGTCCAAACAGTGGGTTGGCAAGGGGGAATCTGCACCAAAAAAGACGAAGACAGTTCCTTCGACAGGGAAGGTTATTGCGACTGTCTTTTAGGACTCACAAGAAGCAATCTTCATTGATTATACCGAAAAGGGTAAAATTATTACATGTGCATACTATTAATCGTTATTGGACCGTTTGCAAACTGAGATGCAGGAGAAACGTCCACGATTGGTCAAGAAAAAAACCTTCTCCATCACGAAAACCCTTCAGCTTACACCTCAGCAGTTGTGGCCGCAAAATTGATGGTTCAAGTAGGGTTCCAACTCGCTCCACATCCAGATTTGGCTCCTTAGGACTATTACTTGTTCCCCAAAATGAATAAATGGCTGACGGGGAAAATATTTTACTCAAACGAGGAGGTGATGGCAGAAACGACTATTTTCTGTCTCTATTGCCTATTTTAAAGACTTGGACAAATCGTATTATTTGGAATGGATCAACAAACTAGAGCATCGCTGGACGAAGTGTATTAGTCTAAAAGGAGATTATGTTAAAAAGTAAAAATGATATATCCTAAAAATTAAGCACTTTTAATTTTTTTTCATTTCATTTTTGCACGGACTTTTCAAACCACCCTCGTATGTACTTTATAGTTTTTCACAATGTTCTAATATTTGAACGTCTGTGGGATCTGACTTGGTAAAGATAGCATCCTTTAAGTATCATTAGATTAAGGTATTTTTTAACTAAAACTTAGGGTAACAACATTGTATATTAAGGTCAGTCACTTTACTGTAAACACTTACTCTGATTGTTTTTGAAGAATTGGTGTGCAAACTATTGACAGGAATTTATTCATGCGAGCAAACGTTCGAGCGCATTTTCATTGGAGCGATTTTTGGTACTAAGGCTCCTCATTTCATTGCTGGTAAGCGAATGTATCATTCAAGTTGGGCAAGCAAATGAAAACGATTCAATAACGTTTCAGGGTGGAAAAGCGATTTTGATGATCAAGAGGAAAATGTTAGGGGTGTTGTCTATTTTCTAGATAAAGCTAACAAAGGAAAACTGATGCTTCCCGTCTTCCGAAACAGCCTACCAGAAAATATTAGGTATCTAACACAAAATGCATCTCTACATTTTGGGAACATAAAACATTTGTTACGAAAACATACGAGTGAAGTTTTAACCTAAGTTAGGATTTGCCTAAAAACGTTTTTCTTAGGTTCCTAGACATTCCTATTGATAGTTGCGCCAAAGCCTCACCAGTAAAGTTATGCATTCAATTGGGTCTTCCCGACAAATTACTCATATTCCTAAGATTTGGAGCGCAAATAACTGATCTTTCTGATGAGTTAAGTAATTTCCAATATATTCTAAACAGGTAATACTGCGTTTATACAATATTTAATTTCCTAATATCTAGTCTTCTATTTTGGCAATACGGTTTTCGGCAGACTTTCTGAATTTAACCACTGCTACCCATACAATATAGTGGCTTGCTTGCAAATCCTGTTAAGAGTTGTTCCAACAATAAATATATCAAAAGCTCCAATAAGCTGTGATAAAACGGAATCTATTCTAATCAGAGAAATTGTTGCCGAAACTTATAATGACTTGCTGGAAGATGGTATTCTACCACGCTCAAGGTAATTTTACTTAATCTGAGTGGTATAAGTTTCTATTACCTTTGTATGATAGGTGCGGATTTTTTCCTCCAGAACTAAAGCATATTTGCAGATGCGCTATTAGGCAACAATTATGGAAAAATTTTGCACTACCAGCTGGAATACGACAACTTCCATTACCAGAGAAAATGTGGAGATATTTGGATATCCTTGATGACTAGTTTTTAGTCATTAAGCTATCATTATGAGGAACATTTAGAATCCAAATGCTTGCTAAGTCGCAGCTTTACTAAGTCATTTAAACGCTTTCCAATTTAGCAATATCTTCAATTTCAAATTTTGCTTTGTAAATAGTAAAAACACATATGATTAAATCTTTTTTATTCCATTCGCTTACCTGTAAGCATCCTCCGACACGTTGATTTTTCCAGGGTCTCCTGTAGTTTCAGTTCTGCTTGTTAAATTTACGGTATTACCATAAAGGCAGTATCTCGGCATTCTCTGACCAATCACACCGGTGACCACTTCACCAGAATGTATTCCAATCGTAATCCTCTAATAACATTTTATTGTTATAATAGGGATTGTTAGTATAAAAATAACATCTTAACGATTATTACTTAATTAATTAATACAGCGATCCTGCATCTAAAAATATTTATTAAGACTAGATTATGGGTACAGCTGCTTCCATATATTACCATGGTCTACGCATATATGAGTGGAATAATGTAAATGTTATGCGTATGCGAATGCCCCATTCGTCTATCTAGATTTTTGGAAAATGTTTGTTTGGTAATTTGCGCATTTAGAAGAAACCATAGTTCTGGCTTTTACAGAAAACTTTTTAATGAACGTTAATATGTGTTTGTTCTGCTATTTAACTGCTGTCTGCAACGGCATATTAAAGTTTTTAGCCGTGTAGCCGAGATTCCGTTGGAGACGCATTGCATCATATTATTGGAAACTCTTCCTCACACGTGAATACAGCTAATTTTCTTAAAAGCTTACAATTCACTGTTATTTCTCGGCTGTGTAAAAATAGCTAATCTCTAATTATCGCTTATAAAATAACCAGTTTCTTCTATTCAATTTATATGCTATCATGTGTTATTGTCATCTATTGGTTTGAAAAATATATAAGATATTTTAAAATTAGGTATGTTTAATGAGCAACGGCACTCAACTTCACGTTCTTATGTTTTGTTGTTAATATGCTATTGTTTTCACCATTCGCTTTGTCCGTAAAATGTGCTACAATTATACATGCTACAATTTTGCTGTGACAAGGAGCAGACTTTGATTTTGATTTTCATTTAATTTTTATTATATAGATACAAATTAAATTGTGTTATCATTTACTTACCACTGGTTCTCCGTCGAAAACTACAGAACTCCCTAAGTCCATCATATCCAGTGCAAGCTTCGCAATATTTTTGGCGTGTGTTTTACTGGGATTTGGAAGACCACTGACTGCCATGTATTTATCTCCTACTGTTTCCACCTAAACATGTTAACGTTGAATACTTGTTCTAAATTCTGATTTGTTATGGAATAATAAATACCCATGTAGTAAACAAAATTATGCTCCAATTTTTAATGGCGTTTTTTATAACAATTTGTATTGGTATTGATTGGTGAAGATTCCTATGTTAATTATGCTTGGCCAAATATACAAACTAGTGCTTGTCGATGGTTAAAATGCAAAACCTTATAAGTCTTTTTTTTTTTAATTTACGGGAGAAGTGAAAAACGGTTACAGTCTTTAATTGAGAAATTTGAACACGCATTTTAATTAAAATAATGTGATATGGCAAAGCATTTCCTGGGGATATACATCCTTCTTTTAAATTTTTGTTTATTAAAAAAATAAACCTACGTACGAGGTTACTACTACCTACTTTCAATATTTAAACTTTTTGCAAAAACTTACGAGGTTTTGTAACGCAATATCAATTTCTAAAAACAAAAATCAGCCTGTTAACAATAATCATTAAATATGTTGGTTAACTAAAGAAAACGACGATTACAAAAAATATACTAAGTACGCTACTAAATCATGTAGTTTTTCTATTATTGAAAGGACATTTTTCCTTAACTTTTATGGAACTGATCTTAGGTGAATATTTTTATTCGCTAATAAGGCTCTCATAAAATGGTCTGTAGAGCTCCGGGATAAACTGTTTTAATTCTTGGCGGTGTTGGAACGGATTACGTTTGATTTGTAGCGCTTTAGTATACAACGAGGGAACCATGATATCAATGTCTTCATTTCTTTGCGTACGCCTTGTAAATTGAGTCCAAGCGTCTTCATAATTCATCTTAAATTCAGTGGTGCCATCAACGCGGTACGCTAAGCATCCTAGATCAGTTACCTTTGGATCATGAGTCGTATTTCCTGGGTGAATAGAAGAATAGGAGTTTGGCACGGAATATAAAAAAAGTGTGAGGACCATAATGAACTTCATTTCCATTTTTTGTTTTATCAGTTTCTGCCCTTTGCACATAACACCCGGGCACATAAACCTCCCGAGTTTTTAATTTTCTGTCTATGCAGGCGTGATTGCAGGAGCCCTTTTTCGAGGTAATTGGTATATTTCCAAGTGTTTTGTTCTGGCCAAAGCCGATAAGGCGTTAGATAAGTTCACGTTCCGATTTTGCTATCCAGCTCCATCACTAAACTTTAAATATCAAAACCTCGTAAGTCCAATTCAGAGATTTCTGAGAAAATTAATTTTACGAGGTATTAGCAGATGGTTTTGGGGATCCCTAAAATTATTAATGGACTTTCGTAGGCTTAAAGATTATGATTTTCTGCAAGTGTGTCGAATAAAACGCTGAATGGAACAAAACCGACTTACGAAATTTTGTACTTTAACCATCGTTGTGTTAAATTTAGGTTTTGTAGCCGATATTAATGTAATTCTTGAAAGGAGAAAAATCTTTTAGCTCTTTTGTTACAAAACCGTAATCTCTGTCGGACTATTTTCCGTTTTAGGGTCTCCAGGATAAAATAAATGTCATCCATCCAACAAAAACTTATTTGTTACATGAACTTGATCCGTTTTTTATTGACGGTAAATTAAATGGCACCAAGTAGGTACGTTAAATTATTGTCAGAAAATATTATACCAAAAATTGTGAAACCGACCACAAAATATTGAAGATGTTAAGATTTGCCTGAGGCCAGAAATAATTTTAAAATCGCCTTGCTCATTGTCAGCAAGTCAATGTAAAATTCAAATAAAGAAAGGAGTATCCAGTATTTTGCACTGTTGAACAAAGGAGAGAATTTCCTCTTTGTCAACCAAATGAGGAATGTTTCTGCCCGCTGTTTTTGGGCCAGCTTTATCAGACTGATAGGGCCAAGTCAAGTTCTTTTATTTTTATTTCTTTCATTTTAAGTTAATTCTATTCTTGTAAGTTTGTCATATACAATTTTAACCATTTTAGATCGTTCGGTGCTCTTGGTGCTGTTTGCTTCTGATTTGACGAGTACGTTTTGTTTTGTTCCCTTGATTTTGTCTTCACAATATCTTCCAGGGTACTTACAGTTACTTTGTCTTTGGCGGCCCTGATGATGACGTAATTGTCGAAAGCGCTTGGCCTTAATTAATAATTAAATGCACACTTCATTACAAAAAAAACTTGTTTGATTTAATGTGGAATTATTTAAATTTAGATTTCTGTATTGTTTAGATTTCCATTGTTTTTGATGTTATAAATATAAGAATAAGAAAAACTGTTACGTGATCTATTGGAACTTTAATCGTCCTGTATGAATAATTACGCGATGTTTCAAATGGTGCCAATGATGATGTTAAAACTCAAGTCCCCAATTACAAAATCAAAATTTAATGTTATATTAACGACATTAAATACATTATGAGAAACACTGTTTTGTCAGAATTTGCGCATATGTGAATCAGGCTTTTTGTCTTTCATCTGTTGAACTTTTATTTAAAATGTTCCCTTCTGTATATTCCTCTTATAAAGTGTAAAAAATTGGAATTCTTCTAGGAAAGTTCTCAACACATTCGACTGTAAACGCGTGATTCTAAGCCTTGTTTGTACAGCACGTACAAGATAGAAATCGTCAAAGATGTTGCTCATAAATTAATTAAATTTTATTTAAGGAAGTGTCTTGAACAATAATAAGGCTGTTCTGTTTGTTCTAGTTCACTCAGTTTCTGCCGTCTGTTTTGTTATAGCGTTGACACTAAAATATTATCATAAACCATACACTGAAGGCTAATAGTCAAATGTTATTAGCTGTTAAACCATTTACGTTAAAGATGTACTCTTGTTTGTGCCCATTTGAAGCAAGTAAGAAAGCATAAGATGTAATACCCCAGTGACACCATTTCCTGCATCAAAGTGAACCTATTAAGTGCAATATACAAAACCTTATACGAACCTTGTAAATATTGGGATTTATCTTCGAGTCAGTAAGATCATCAAATTTGGTGTACAGAGTGTTCAACATTTTTACAATTTTCATAGCGCCGTTCGAGTCAGCATTTGCTGCACAATAAGCTGAAATAATATATGCGGTTAATAATGTGCACTCAATATTTTTAGTTCAAAAAATTTTTGCAATTTTATATTTGCATATAACTTCAAGGCTCCTCAGGAAATATAACCGCAGTGTTCTAAAATCTAGCCTTCTAAAACTCATCAGTTTGAAATTTTGGTCAGATACTAACAATACAAGCAGAATCTTATTTCTTTTATCGTCTTTAACATTCGCGACATATTTTTCAAAACGCACTTCCTTTATCCAAACAGGAATTCAACCAAAGCGAAAGAATTACAGGGCATAGACTTCGGGTCATAAAGCTATTAACTTTCTGTACAGTAAAATACAAATCGCCCTGAAAATACACCAGAGCTTGGGAACAAGGATGATTCAGAAATATATTGATTAACTTCTATGGGACACACGCGGTAAGCAAACGAAAGTCGTCCTGCTTGATTATTGTATAATCAAGCAGGACACACTTGATAATTGACTAAGTTAACTTGAAAGTTAACATCAGTCTGCTTAACTTGATGATTGTGGGCTGAAAAATTGATAATATCCGTATAAAAATCTTTACCCAAAACTTGAAGAATGGAATGAAAATAAGGAAAAACAAGCTTGAACAACTAACGGCAGAAATCCTAGTACAAGAATGTACAATAGTCTATAACCACTGGTTTCCAACCAAAAAAGAGACATACATAAGACAATCAGCATAATGGTGGAACGTGAGAGATGCAAATCTACACAAAACCTGCTTCCGGTATAAGATAATGTTTGTAAGAGGTAATTGTAACCAAACCCTTCCATTATCACAAAAGGACAATTCTACACTTAAAACAAAATCTGCGACCAAATAGACGAAAACATATGGGGAACTGGCTATAATATTGTCTTGAAGAAAGCCCATTTGTACCCTAGAGTTAAGTAGATGATACAAGGCAATTTTAAACTGCGAAGAAACTTCCCACGTACCGAAACGACAATAAGGGAAGCTATAGCATCAGATTGCTTACTACCGCCAATTGAGGCTGAAGAGCTCACAACAGCAATATCTCAAATTAAGAACAAAACGGCTGCTGGTTCAGATAACTCCACTAAATTCAGGCCAATCTGTCTACTGGACGTATTTGGGAGACTTTTTGAAAGAATCATTGCAAACAGGCTCTATTGCGAAATTGATGGAAAACTATCTAGCCACCAATACGGATTCAGGAGAAGCTGATCACTGATCACTGTTACAATGCAAAAGGTGCTGAAGATCGTAAATATCATCAAACCAAAGGCTCCAAATAACCGAAAACTCTGCGTAATGGTCACGCTAGATATCCGCACTGCTTTCGAATCAGCACATTGAGAAGGAATCATGCCAGCGCTCAAAGACAGGAGAGTATAATTAAATATATCGCCGCCGAATGATATCGGACTATCTCTCGGAAAGGTCAGTACTTGTTGGACGGGGCATGAGTATGCAAATGGAGTTTGGAATGGTACAGGACGCTATTTTGGGACCGATTCTGTTGAATATATTCTATAATTCTGTGCTTACAATGGAAGTACCTACTGGGACATCCATAATTGGATTCGCTGATGACACAACCGCTATCTGCAAAGCAAAAACAGAGCTGGAGCTAGTCAGTAACACTAACCCTAAGAAGAGCATGAAACTGGCAGTAGAGGAGACAGAAGCCGCAATACTGTATGGAGGCAGAAAACAGAGCCACCTTGCGGCTGGAAAACTAAGAACAAAATCGCAGTTGAAATATCTCGGAGTAGTATTCGATAACAGCTGTAAAATGAAGGAACATGTGGTGGCATAGTAGCATCAAAGCTGAAAAGCCTGTAATGGTACTAAGCAGAATTATGCCAAACCTGGTCGACCACAATCATCCAACAGGAAGACTTTAGCAAACGTGGCACATTCCATTCTCCTGTATGCTCCTATTGAGCCAAGCCATCAAGTGGGAGAAATACAGAAGACTCGTGGTAGGGGTACAACGTAGGGTGGCGCTCAGGATATGTTGCAGTTTTCGAAATGTATCTACGGAAGCTGCATTGGTACTGGCCAGAATTCCTCCCATTGACCTCCAAATTAAAAGAGATGCCTCCAGTATCAAATTGCCAAAGGAATAGAGAACAGCACCGAGTGGGCACCTTACCGAATTTCTCACCGAATAGCAGCGAAAATGATACTGGTATTGATACTAGATCTTACATAGTGGGTAGGATGCAAGTACGGAAAGATAAAATTCTACCTCTGCCAATTGCTGAGTGGACACGGATGATTCAATAGCTATCGGAATCGCTTCCACCTTAACGGCAGCGTCTTATGCCGAAGATGCCAGGTGGTTGAAGACGTAAACCACGTGTTCTTTCACTGCGAAAAGTGGAGACTGTTAATAGACGGAGCACACGAGGCAGCGGGCGTTACATTAACTAGTCATAATTGTGTGGAGTTTATGCTTATTAGTCAGGATCCTTGAAATATGTGGATATCCTGTGCGGAATAATCGTCCAAGAACCGAAAAAGGAAGAAACAAGTATGGGTTGAATGGAATACCAGTTCTCTTTGCCCGAAGTAATGCTCGCGCCGTTTAAGGAAAATGAGAAGCCATGAGACAGGAGGTTTGAGTCGGGGCGGGTCCGACACTACCTTGGTGTGCATAATGTATTTGCTCCTCTCTAAAGGAAATGTAACATGATGAGAAGTTTGCAGATTTTGAAATCTATTCAGTTCATATTCGAATACACATGTTGTCGATTGATCACTTTGTGACCATTGTCTGGGAACGCCGTTTCTTGCACTAATAATGGTATATGCTGTATTCATCCATATATTCATATTATGTGCTGCTTTCTTGTTTAATCTTAACTTAATTGTTTAAAGATATTAGACTTCGCAGGTTTTTAGAGTTTTGAATTTAAGGTATGCATCTGACATAATATGTGAATAGATATATCTTACTATATCAAGTTGAGGCAATCCCACATAGCAAAATGATATTCCCAGAATATACCTGGAAGATTCATGTGATGTACATGCATATTGCTGGGACATACATCAGTAACATTATGAACATTCCATGTATGTCCCAGGAATCTGTCAGAGGTAATACACTGAATGTTCATGGTATGTTCTGGGAATGTACATGGTATGTTCAGTGAATGTACATGTGTATGTTCTGACAATGTACTTGGTATGTTCAGTGAATATACATGTGTATTTTTGGGAATGTACATGGTATGTTCAGTGAATATAAATGTGTATTTTCTGGGAATGTACATGGTATGTTCAGTGAATGTACATGTGTATGTTCAGTGAATGTATATGGTATGTTCAGGGAATATACATACATATATGTAACGAAAGAAAAACTATACTTTATTTCCTCTTATTAGTTTATTCACATATTTAAGTATTTACTGATGTAATTTTTCAACAACAAGAGTTACTTGCAACTAATCTAAAACTAATTAAATGGATAATAAATAAATTAAAATATAACTTATAACTACGGACTAAAAATCTAAATTAACATTTTCAGCATTTTTGCCGTTGT